TTGGGCATCTGCTGAGTTTGATCTAGCTCAGATCAGGCTGATAGTGTATCAGGACTGCGAGAGAAGAGGACGACAGGTTCTGTTTGACTCTAAAGCAATACATAAACTGGACGCATCTGAGCCGGTAAGTTCCTAAATGGTGTGTGTATGTGTGTGTGGGGTGTCTGTGAGCACTGTTTTGGGAGGAGTCACATGCTCTGTAATCCAGCTTGCTTGGATCTCATGACAGGTGTGACTGCTCAGCTAACTGGGTCAAAGCATTTAGCACTCATGAGAGTGAGTGTGTGGGTTCTATCTTGAATCATGCTTGCTGACTTTTGATTTATGTGGAGTTTGGTATAATACTTATTTGAAGTGCATATTTTAGCATAAAATGTTTTTGTGTATAGACAACAATTATGTCCAAAAGATCCCCATTCAGACAGATGTATGTTAAAAATACTTTATAATACAGTTAAAATACTTTATTGTGCATGCCAGGCCAATAGTTGGCAAACTTGAACAGCATGAACACAGTCATGTAGTCCATCATTGTTTTGGTTGTACATATGCATAAATGTATGTACTTGGATATTAGCTCTTAGCTTTTAGACCATCACTGTCTCTTTGGAAATACATGCCTTATCTTACATTTTTGTAAAACTGCAAATACGTACTTCTGCATATGTTTGACTGCAGTTTCTACTTAAAATGAATTCTGTGGCGCAGTACAATATCAACAACTTTTGTTCCTTTTCACACTAATGATATTTGTCAACATATTATCGAGAAATAAAGATTTATTTATGCGCATATCTTTGCACAGCACCAAGTAAATACCACAAAACATCTTAACAATGTCCAAGAATTGTAATAAAAACATTTGCCTCATCTTTCTGTCTCCATTTGGACAACTCATTCAGTTTGCTCTGTAGTTCATTTTGTAGTGTTTTGAGTGCTAAGGTTTGAGTCCAGGGAAGCATGATTCTACAAAACAGGGGAAAGCAATGTAGAATCAAGGTAAATCTATGTGGTAACAGTGCACTTTTCTCTTACGTTTGCTTTTAAAAAACACTATTGGATGGGTTTAGCTTATTGGTCCGCTTGTTCAGCAGTACGACAAGCCCCACCTGTACAAGAAGCATGTGTAACTGAAACGTATAATGAAATGTATGACATCTTTAAAACTATATCGTCTAGTAGTGGATTTGTCATTTGAAATATGCAAAGAAACATGCCAGATGCAAAGTATATTACATTTCGCAGAAATGTGGGTCTGTGCTTGTATTTGTAGCCTTGGTTGTTATAGACTGAACATGCAATGTGTTGTTTAAACTTCCCCACCATGACAATGCCATTTTTGTGTCGTTCTGATAAAAACAGCCTTTACGTTACATAATAAATAAAAGACTCTTACTTCTAGTAACAAAGTGCTCATAATAACAATTTGTAAAAAAAAAAAATTAAATAAAAAATTGCATATCTCTAATCACATCAGTCTCACCAAAACAAGTTGTTGTTTTACAGTAGTGGCACAATCTAATATGAAGTTTTCTATAAAAACTAGTAGTGAAATAAAAGGTCCTGATGTGGTACAGGAAGAGTGTTTAGTTGTGCAAACTGAATTGTATTTGCCTTATGCATACTGTATTTCCACTGTTGCACTACTAAATTCCTCTACTGTTTGTATACAGGCTTGACAGTTTTGAATCAAAGATTTAATTTTAAGTCAAACCCCAACTATACCCATCAATCTAGACAGTTGTTATTGGACGTCTCTGGCTCTCTCTGAACAGAGTGTGATTTATTGTCAGTAAGTTGTCACATGATTGGTCTGTTTATTCAGCTCTTCAGCTTTTGTCACAAAGGGAGAGAGAGAGAGAGAGAGAGAAAAGAGAGAGTGTGTGTATTGAATCGTATCAATTATGCTAGAATATTGCGGTGGCAGACACTTTCATATCATTGCTTATGTTTGTAAAAGTCTAGAAATATTTTAAGCATGCTTTTGACGTGCAGGCTAGATAAGGAAATTTATAGTTATTTCTACAGTGAAATATTTGTTATAGTGATTCTACATCGTTGCACAACTGGTTCACATACTTTCTGTGTACTCTTATAATTTTTATTTTCAACTTGTGTGTAGAGAGAGATAAAAAATAGCATACACAATCATGTTTGAGATTTTTTAAATAATTTAAAAAGTCTCTTTCTCTTATACGCAAAAAAAACATGTATATAATCAATATTGTGATATTATTTCAGTTTTAATGAGCTTTTTCTATTTTATTGTTTTAAAATGTTATTAATCGACATGATAGCAAAGCTGAATATTCTGCATCATTACTTCAGTCTTCATTGTTACCTGATACTACAATCATACTACAAAAGAACTTCATTTAGTCTCGATTTTCATGGAACAATATGAAAATATGTGCCGTCTCTATTGATCAATCAGTTTGTACATTTGTGTAAAAACCCTTTAGTATAATAATATAGTAGCCATTTCTGTGGAGAAATCCCCTTGAATCTGTAATGACCAAGAAGATTAAGATACACAGTGTGATGTATCATGTGAGTGACCGATTGTTTCTTACAGACGGCTGATGAAACCAAAACTCCCCCTAACCGCAGTGGAGCTTGCCATATCGGCAGCCAAGCAAATGAGAAAGACAAGCCTCCTACATATCAGGTTTGTGCATTTACACTCAGAAGTTTAGCTTGTGTCTTGGAAAGTTATTGTAGGAAACAATAATATTCAAATGATATCCAACTACACTTCCCTGTGTATGTATGTTCTCTATGTTCAGTATACCAGACCGGCTTCAGATGTGAACATGCTTGGAGAGATGATGTTTGGCTCTGTTTCCATGAGCTACAAAGGTTCAACTCTTAAAATTCACCACATTCGGTGAGCATTTACAACAAGCAATATATATTATCCAGGAATTAGGACTTCTGGAATTTGTATGTGAAACATGGTGTTGTGTGACAGGTCTCCACCGCAACTGATGGTCAGTAAGGTTTTTTCCACCCGGTTCGGAAGCAGCAGCACCTCTGGAAGTACAAACACGTATGTCTCTTATTTCCTCTTACAATTTCATTTCTTTTGATCTGGCTGTATAAGGGAAGAACTGTTGTTATCACTCATTCTGTTTTTATATTTACTACTTAAAGGCTTCAAGACAGTTTTGAGTCGATGAGCCAAACTTTTCCTAGTCACACCAGCAGCAGCATAGGTAAGATATTTACAAACACTTCATCCTTCTTAGAAATGTTTTATACACTTTTTTCCAAAACCTAGTGAGCTACCGAGTGCCAACGTACACAGCAATTTTCCACATAATAGGTTGTTTACACTTTTCACAGAGAAAAAGAAAGGGTATCTTAATTATTCTGTTTTAAGGCAGAATTCAATGTACCATTCACAGGAAGACACTAGACCAAGTATACACTGATTAAAGCTCAATTAAAAAAATCCAAGATGGCCAATGAGAGGAAATGTTGGGGACATTCTACCAGAAACATACATTTTTACTAATAAAAGATGTGAGGGCTTGACCTTTAAGCTTGTTGTCCTTAAAAAATCTTTTAAAAACAAGCATAAAATCATACAATTCAATGAGAGAACGCATCCTTGATCACTGTCAGCTTCCCCATCAAATTATGTCACATCCTTTGAGTCAAAGGTGTATTGCACGCATTTTGTGTTTAATGTAATGCAAATGTGACAGGACTGACTGAAACATGGGAACAATTGTAAAAATTGTTTGTATTTTTTATATATATATATATATATATATATATATATATATATATATATATATATATATATAGGATTTATTTGTATAATTTATTTATAATTTCATGTTTTTAATCAATTGATGTGAATAACAACTTATGCTTGTTATTTCTGAAATTTTCTTTTTCCTAAGCTGGTTGGGCGGTTTTAGCTGGTCGAGCAGCCTGAATTTAGAGGGGGTTTTGCCGTTTCCAGGATGATTTCAGACATTTCCAGCCTGGTCTTAGCTGGTCAGGCTGGAAAATGACCAGCTACAACCTGGTTTAGGCTGGACATAGCTGGTTTAGGCTGGGCTCCCTGCCTCGCTAGCTGGTCAAGCTGATTTTAGCTGGTCATCTCTCACCAGCAAAGACCAGGTTGGAAATGGCTGGAAATGGCCAAAACCCCTCTTGTCGACCAGCTAAAACCAGCCAACCATCCTAGGCTGTTTTAAACTAGATTTTTCAGCGAAGAAATAACACATTTAAACATAACAAAACTATTAAAGTTGTAGGTTCAATTAGGTTGAGGACAAGGACAATGACAGGGTTTGAACTAAATGAATAAGATATTCCTTTAAAGAACAACTCAAATCAACCGTCAGTTCATTTTAGAAATTATTTGGATGAAATACTTTTCACTCACTGTATTTATGTTTTTATTTCAGGGACAGATAATACACGTTTGTGGTAGATCCCAATCATTAATTATATTTCATTCAGTTCATAAAAGCATTGATAAAAAATAGTTCAAATTAATGACAATTTAACTCAGTGTTTGGTTGTGATGTGTATTTAGAGCATTAAAAAGTTTTTTCCTCAGGAGAATTAAACAGTTAGCTTACTTACAAGCTAATATCAAACTCTAGTTGGAAGGAGTAAACTATCATAGTTTTCTCCACAGGGGAATTGAGTAGTTAGCTTAACAGCATGCTAACATCAAACTATACCTGAAAGGAGTAAAACATCATGGTTTTCTTCTCAAGGGAATTGAGTATTTAGCTTAACAACATGCTAACATCAAACTCTAAATATGGGCATCCTACAGAGGGGAGAGCTAAAGCTGTTTGTAGTGTTTGCTCACTGCAGTATTCTGATTGTTGGGATTTCTGGTCAGCATCACGGGTTATGTTTTCTACACAATTCACTGCTAAACATGATTGTAAGTCGAATTAATGTGAACAGATGGGACTAAAAAAAGCAAATACAACAACCTGAAAAAGTGGATGTGCACATTTCAATAGAATGGCAGCTCACTAGGTTTCACTAGGATTCCTAAATCTTTCTCTGAATTTCATCCAAGTGTTCTCCTTCTTAACATGGCCTTAAACTGCTCTTTCCAGGAGTACGCCATGTACCTAGCGCTCCTCTGCTCTCCCTGGTTCGGAGCGCATCTTTTTTTGCAGGTTTGTGTGGAATGCTGAAGCAGCGTGAGCATGTGTTCATCTCACATGCACTCATCCTTTAGCTATGTTTCATTTTCTACTGTGTGTTGTTCTCTCTGACTGATTAGCCCTCGATTGATTTTAGTCCTCTGACCTAATGCACTTCCTTTATCTCTGACCCTGTTTCACTACTGGTGTTAACGTTCTTGGGTATCACAACAGTCAAGGTAGAATGCAATTTACACCTGATAATAGAATGCAGCTATGGTGGCGTTTGAGAGATTGGATAGCAAATTAAATTGTAGATCATTTACATATGAAAAAAGGAGTAGTTCACTCAGAACTGAAAACTCTGTCATTTACTCACCCCACTCACCCTTCACTGTTGAACACACAAGAAGATAATTTGAAAAATGCTGGAAACCGGTAACCATTGACTTCCATGGCATTTCTTTTTCTTACTATGAATGTCATTGGTGTCTAAAATACTTCAAAATATCTTCTTTTGTGTTCAAAGTTTTGTAAACACTTGAGGGTGAGTAAATTATCATTTTGGGGTGAACTATCCCTTTGCATTGTCAATTGTCTGAAATTGATGTTAATTCCAAGAGTAAACGGGGTCATTTTGGGACAGCAGCTATGCTGTGGATGAGACTGCTGGATTAAGATTTTGCTGGTTAACTACACGCTTTTAGATGCGTTCACGCTTTTTAGGGTGTTTGTTGTGTGTGTGTGCACGTGATTCTAACCTGCATGATCTTATTTTTTTAAACGGGCTCAGGAACCTCAACCTCCAGCAAATCGAGCACCTTGTGTAGCAGTACGGATGCTATTTCTTCCATTCTTGCTGAATGATATGGTTTAATGATTCTCTTTTTCCAGCCCACAGCAATCCGGTGGACATGCCGAGCAGAGGACACAGTGAGGACGGAGACAGTGGCATAGCTCGCTCGGGTATGAGCACTTTAATAAAGGGCAAAGTCAGAATATATTTAAAGTCATTTTAAAATTTGAAATAATGACAGAATTTCTGTGTGAAACGTCCGTTAAATGCAGACTTTAAAAATGTAAGTAAATTGTTCTATTGAACAAACATTCCTAATTGAGATTGAGGTCAGTTCAATGTTTTTTTAATCGAAATTACAACAGCAAAGATTCTAAGACTTAAGACTAAATAAAAATTTTAAAATAATTATTCTTTCTGTTTTTAACTTTGTGTTAATAAAATCATGTAGCCAAAACATATCACTTATTATTCAGATAGCTATACAGTAGGGCAGTATCTCTAAACAGTAAACTGATTATGTTGGCCATTTGTTATGAACAAATATTGTTTAATTTGGTTCTGGTCGATAGCAGATATTTAATTGTGCATGCTAATGTTCTCTGCTTTGTTTAATACATCATAATTTATAAACTTTTGTATAAAAAAAGCTTTTTATTCTACTATATATCTGTTATCTTCAATACCAGGAAATTAACTGTTTTGGCTTAATTAGTTGAACTTTTCACTAAAATGCTTTTGTATGTAAATAAATGAATACAAGTAAGCAGTGTTGCCAGATATAGCTGATGTTTTCCAGCCCCAAACACTCCCACCTCTCACTCACACACTGCACTTAATATTGTGTAGATTACACTACCTATTACAGTATATTTTAATTTTGAAATGAGGTATATAAGTTCATCCCATTTGGCTTTTTAAATTCTTGTGAACATAATTAGGTGCTCCATGTCAATCAAACAATGCTTCTATGTCTGTTATTGATGTCAATAAATGCCATTATTTACCCGCACAAATTTAAAACCGCTCAATCTGGCAACACTACAAGTAGATATGTTTTATTTGATCTTACTGTAAAAGGATAGCTCACTCGAAAATGTAAATTCTGTTATCATTTACTTACCCTTCACTTGTTTTAAACCTTTGAGTGTCTTCTTTTCTATTCAACACAAAAGAAAATAGTCTGAAGAAAGCTGGAAACCTGTAACCATTACCTCCCACAGGATTTGTTTTTTTCCTACTATGGAAGTCATAGGCTACAAGATTTCAGCTTTTTTCAAATTATCTTATTTTGGGTTCAACAAAAGAAAGAAACTCAAAAGTATTGGTAACTATTTGAGGGTGAGTTAACATTCGTTTTGAATGAACGATCTCTTTAAGACACTTTATTTATAGAAGTTTTTCTAAAAACCTAACACCCGATTGTGTACATGATGTATATATGTTAACAAAATTATCTCTGTGTTATTACATTATACTAACTAGAACATGCACCAAAACACTTGCAAACAATACAGCAATTATACAGCACCACCAAAAACAATAAAAAAAAAAACTCTCAGCCAGACCAATGGAATAAGAAACAAAATAAAATGACTTGTAAAAATTACCAAAAAAAAGGATTACAGAGACATTATTAACCTATACATCTAAGGAAGGGGCCCCATATTTTGTCATACATCTTCTGTTTGACAAATTTAGAGAAAGTAACCTTTTCAGCTTGAGAGCAGAAACCAAGTCAGCTAACCATTTAAAAAAAAAACTTGGAGTTGTTGTGGATTTCCACTCTACACAATCACTCTCTTGGCCGACACCATGCCAAACATAAGAGAGAGTTGTTGATGTTTAGGCCAATTTAGAGCCTGGTCTGAACATCCAAACAATGCTAATTCTAATTTCTAAATTCTAATTTTAATGTCCATTTCAAAAGCCTGGGAATGAAGTCCGAAGATACTTTTCCAAAAGTCAGATACTTCTCGACAGGACCTGAATATAAAGTTAAAGTCAGAATTATTAGCCCCACCTTTGAATTAAAAAAATAAAATAAAAAAATAATTTCCAAAATGATGTTTAACAAAGCAAGGAAATTTTCAGTATGTCTGATATTTTTTTTGTTCTGGAGAAAGTCTTATTTGTTTTATTTAGGCTAGAATAAAAGCAGTTTTTAATTTATGTAAACCATTTTAAGGTCAAAATAATTAGCCCCTTTGAGCTAGATATTTTTTTTTTTTTGATAGTCTATAGAACAAACCATCATTATACAATAACTTGCCTAATTACCCTATCCTGCCTAGTTAACCTAATAACCTAGTTAAGGCTTTAAATGTCACATTAAGCTGTATAGAAGTGTCTTGAAAAATATCTAGTCAAATATTAATTACTGTTATCATGGCAAAGATAAAATAAACCAGTTATTTGAAATGGGTTATTAAAACCATTATGTTTAGAAATGTGTTGAAAAAAAAATCTTCTCTGCGTTAAACAGAAATTGGGGAAAAAAATAAACAGGGGGTTTAATAATTCAGGGGGGCTAATAATTCTGACTTCAAGTGTATGACCATAGGTTGCGACTGTGCCTTTGCATCTATCACACAAATGAGAGATAGAAGGATACAGCTTATTAAGTTTGGGTTTAGTATAGTGTGACACAGATCAGTTTTAATAGAGTATTTGATTTTGGTGTCACATCTGTAGCCATGGTCATTACTGCTATTAATCAATGTAAACCACTCTATATTATATATTACAGCTATTGAAAAAAGAAAAAGAGAGGTATTATAATGTAAATATACAGTTAATCAAATTCCACTTCTCCATTGTGTAGCATCTCTGAGCAGTTTGCTGGCCACCCCGCAGCCTTCACCTGGCTCTTCCTTCAGCAGTGGCTGTGCCAGCAGCTACCAGCGCCGGTGGCTCCGCAGCCAGGCCACCAGTCTACAGCATGGCCCCATGCCCCGCTGGTGAGTTCAGTGATACACAAGAAACCAGTAAGAAATGGAGAAGCCAGATTAGATGTAGTTGTGTATGTCCGTTCATCAGGAACGCAGAGGAAATGTTCAACCTGTCTGACGAGAGCTGCAGCTCCAACCCTGCCATGATCCGGAGGAAGAAGATTGCCATCAGCATCATCATCAGCCTGCCGGAGCGAGAAGAGGAAAATCACAACTTTCAGGAGTTTTTCTTCTCCCACTTTCCTCTTTTCGAGTCTCACATGAACAAACTCAAGACTGCCATCGAGAGGGTGAGTGTGAAAGCGCAGGACAGTGATTTATTATAGCAGCCTTTGTAGGAGCAAGTGTTGTAGGGTTTCATCAGAATTCATAATCAGAATTTAAAATTTATTATTGATTTGTAAAGGTAGGTATAGGCAAAACGTGACAGAAAAAGGCAAAAAGTGTTGTGAACAGTCATTATGTTGTTATTTGCAGGCTGAAAAAAACAAGCAACTAGGCTGATATTAGACTGAGACACCATCTTTAGAATGACTTCTTTTAAAATGACTGAATTCGCCAGCAATGCAGCATTGTTGCTTTAAAACTGAAATGCCTTCAATATGTTCTGAATAAGATTTTGACTCACTAAAAATGCAAGTAGGTTTGCAAGCATCAGAACAGTGTGTCAAACTAACTGTCGTTTTGTGTTTTTTTTTAACATACAATAGAATTTTCCTGATTATATTTTTAAATGTATACTTTTAATTACATTTATACTATGGTTTACTAAACACAAGCACTAATTACTTGGTATAACAATAGATTAAGAACCAAATAAATCTTGTCAGGTATAATTACAACAAGAAACACTTGACATCTTATTGAAATACTCTATTTAAGAATTACTGTGTCGCCTCAAAAGACAAATTAGATATATATTTTTATTTAAAATTGCTTTCTTACATATCACACTGTTCTTCAAACCGCAAGGCTTCACGCAGACCTTGGCATAAAATATATATATATATATATATATATATATATATATTTGTAAGGTAAATATTATTAGCCCCATTCAAGTATTATTGTTTTTCGATTGGCTACAAGAACAAACCTCTGATTTACAATGACTTGGCTAATTACCCTAGCTGACCTAGTTAACCAAATTAACCTTGTTAAAGTTGTGGTCCACTATGATATCATATTTTAAGCTTTAGTTTATGTGCGATGTAGTTGTGTGAACATAAATAACATCTCTGAATGTAATACGCTCAAAGTTCAATGCAAAGGGACACATTTGCTTTTACAGAGTTACCTTAGCAAAGTCTACAGCAAATTAAGTTTGGGCACTACAAAAAAAAAAAACCATCCTGGTTAATGATGTCATAAACCCTTCAGGTAAAGCACACACACCCCACGCAGTGAAGGGGCGTGGCCAGAGGCACTGTAAAGTTATTACAGAAGTGCTTCCTGGTGATGTGTAGCTGATCTGCAAATCACAGCACATTATGTTAGCTGACCAATCAGAGCCTCTTGAGGGTGAGTCTTCAGAGGAACTAGGAAATATGACAGACATTTTCATGTTAGCTGAGTAGCTGTACATAATCAAAATAAGATATATGAGCACACATTGCTTTGGCCCCCATAAACACAACCAAGCCCTAAAAACACTGGACCACCCCTTTAAGCATTTCAATTGCACTTTAGGCTGAATAGTATATTGCATAATAACTAGTAACATATTATGTACTGCCATTATGGACAAAATAAATTAGCTATTAAAACTTATGTTTAAAAATGTTGTTGTATATTCTCTTCGTTAAATATAAAATTAAATTCCACACATATTCCTTAAAGTCCAAACCTTGTGTGAATTTTTTTCAGGCAATGATAGTGTGCAGAAGGATAGCAGAGTCCAGTCAGCGAGTGCAGGTCTATCTGTGCAGAGTGATGGAAGCTCTTGGAGAGTTCAGGTAAAAGACGAGCTGATATCATCACACTTCTTAAAGATTTGTTTTGTCTTCTTCATGTTTAGTGCAATTCAAGTTTATTTGTGTAGTGATTTTTACAATAACTATTGTTTGAAAGCAGCTTTACAAAACCACATTATTGCATTACAATACACTTTGAAAAAGTAAAGATTATTGGTTACCATAACTTTATTAATTATTAATAACTTTAAGTAATTAAAAAGAATCAGACTCAGAAAGAGCTTTATTGACAGGTAAGTTCACACATACAAGGAATTTGTTTTCATGACAGAGCTTCTACAGTGCAACAGAATTACAGAGACAGGACAAAAAACAAATAATAAATATATTTTAAAAATAGAAGTAAGTAGTGCAAATATACAACTGACAATTGTATGTACAGGTATATTACTTCATACAACGTTATATGTGCAGCTGTTATGTGCAAATTGCATGTAAAGTAAGTTGTTAAATAAGTGTATTTGTATATAAAAAGTAGTGATGTTTATTTCACAATTAATATCATAAAGTGTTTATGAGATGGATTGCCTGAGGGAAGAAACTGTTTCTGTGTCGGGCTGTTCTGGTGAACAGTGCTCTGTAGCTTCGACCAGACGGTAAAAGTTCAAAGAAGCAGTATGCTGGGTGTGAGGGGTCTAGAGTGATCTTGGCAGCCCTTCTGCTCGCTCTGGATGAGTACAGTTCTTGGAGAGTAGGGAGGGTTGTACCAGGGTCGGACTCAGCAGTCCGAACTATTCGACGTAGTCTTCGGATGTCAGATTTGGTAGCTGAGCTAAACCATACAGTTATGGAAGTGCAGAGGATGGATTAAATTATGGAAGTGTCACTAGTAACTAATAGCATTTAACAGTTAAAGTTGTTTTTAGTTAACCTGTTGTTATATAGTATATAGGTTATGTCTGTGTATTTGTAAGTGTATATGTGTAATAGGTGTATGTTCTGTCCTCAAAGTCTTCGATGGTTGGCATCATCTTTTCACAGGTCTTGATTTCGGTTGCACTTTCTATAAAGTAGCATTCGATAAACCTGAATAAACAGTATTCATACAGGTGTTGAAAATCCTTTAAAAATGTTTTAAAGGAATTTTAATCTGGTGTTTTCAAGGTTTGAAAAGTGCTTACATTTCAGAAAAAATTAAACTGCTTTAAAATGTAGTTGTTTTATATATATATATATATATATATATATATATATATATATATATATATATATATATATATATATTGTGCTTTTACATACGTTTTACACCATTTTATAAGCAAACAATACAAAATTATTTTGATTAACATTTAAGATGAAACATGACACATTTAGATGACATTTACGAGAGTAAATGACAAAAATTCAATAGTTTCAATAGTTGTCTTGAGACAAGCATGCCTTTCCAATTTTCATTAGACTACTAGACTATAGAATACTATAACAAATAGCATCTGATATAATGTGATGAAGAAAATATATGTAATTTGCCACACTACTTAATACACTTCATTGTACATTTATTATTATTACATGTAAATATTATTGCTTTTTGTAAGACACTCTACTGTATAACTGCAAGCTAACTGCATGTATATATTGACAACCCTTACACATCCCTTTAACTTTTCTGATTTTGACTAATGTAATGCACCCTTTTGTGTACGAAAAACCAGGAGTGTCGGTTAGAAATAAAATTAAGAAGTAAATGATCAATCTAATTATTGAAGCATTAATTTGTATATAAATAGATCACAATTCAAATGGACAAATAAATAGAGATATTTAGATGTGTTTATTTATATGGTGTTTTTAAATGTCATTTAATAAAGCAATAAAACAATGTATTAAAAAGTAACTTTTAAATTTAAAAATAAATAAACAGTTTTATAAATGATTATTTAATTCATGTTTAAAATGCAGATTAATAAAACAATAAAAAGGTGTATTAATAAAACATCTATAATACATTTAAATAGCTTTTTAAAAAGGCATTTGGCAAATACTTTTTTTCTCTCTATTTGCCACTTGCTTTTCTTTTCCTTGCTTTGCTTTGCTCCAGTTGAAAATAAACCCAGTTAAAAATGCAATTGGAAAGGCCACACATGGGAGCAACCAATCAACTTTCGCCTCAAGTTAAGCTAAACCCTCTTCAATTGAATTTAACTTGTGCTAAGAAAGTTTGGAAATGCACCTTAAAAGTGTTTTGAAAAGTGCTTAGATCTGACTAAACCTGGAAATAGTGTAAATTCTAAATGAAACAAAAAATATAGTAAAGACATCGTAATTGGAGCACTGGTTTACATTCAGTTCTCATCTGGCTCTGTGTGGGTCTGCAGGATGACAGTGTGGAACCTGTACATGGCTCCCCGCATCAGCGAACCAGTCTGGCTGTCCATGATCTCCCAGAGTGCCGAGCGAAACCTACTGTGCCAGCGCTTCCTGAAGGAGATGAGTTTGCTGATGGAGCATGGAGTCAAGAGCCAGTCAGTGGTCTTTAACCTTTTCAACTAAACATATTACCTGAAATCTTTAACCCTGTTCTTCTATTAGTACTGTGTAATCAAAGGGAAATTGAGTTATTTGTTTCCATCACCATCACTGATCCTAAGCGTGTCAGGAAACACAGTTGTCCAGGTGTGTCTGTGTGGCAGTCAGTCATGAGTAACTTCCTCTTGATTGCCTTATTTTCTTGAGTTCTGGTTAGACGATTGTGAACCGTTTCTTTCTCCTTTTTTTTTATTCTCATCTAGGTTTCTGTCAGCTCTCCTTACTGCTGTTCTTACACATCATTTAGCCTGGGTGCCCACCGTCATGCCCAGCAACCTGCCACCAATCAAACCCGCCTGCCAGAAACCCACTTCCCAGACGGTGGATCTGCTGGCTAAATCTCACCCGTACAACCCGCTGTGGGCTCAGTTAGGTAAGAGTACACAAGACTTTAATATTTACTTTTACAAATATATTCATAGTATAGTATTCAAAGAGCAGACAAAGCTGAGCTGATGGAGATTTGTGCAACTGGAGTGGCGTAAAGTTGCCCAAAACCAATGTTTTGGAAGACTGGTGGACATTTTAAAAAATACTTCTTCACTAAAGATGCAAGCAAATTAATCAAAAGTGATTATAAGTGCATTTATAATGTCATTAAACATTTATAAGCATTTTAAACAGTTCTTATTTTACATAAATGCTGTTTTTGAGCTTTCTATTTATCAAGCAATCTTTAAAGAATTGTGAGAAATATGACAATGTTACTGTTTTTGCGCTATTGTTATCATAATTACTAGCACTTCATCTATGTTAGGCTGCTTTGACAATCTACATTGTAAAAAGCACTGTAAAAAAAAGACAAATTGAATTAAATCAATTACATTTTATTTTAGTTATTGTAGCTGACTCAGCAGGCAATATTTTAACCCTCTACTGCATGGTGTAACCATATGGCAACATGATACTTATGTTCATTTCCCTGATGCTTTTTCTTTAAGACCAACATTACACTTTTTTGTTGAAAAGAGAAGACCTTAGTGTAGCCAATGATGTGCTTTGGTTAGGTCACATGACATGCAGTGTTTTTCTGTAGCACGATTTCTGACAGACTGGCGTTTATTGTGAGTAGTTGCTAAACGCAAATGTAAATGTCAATAAAAACAAAGGATCAAATTATGTCAGATCTACAAAAAATCTGAAACATCACCTCCAGTAAGTTATGATCACATATTCACAACACATTTTTTTTTTTTTTTTTATCAAATTAGTTTGTAAATGGATGAAATGTATGTGTTACCAAATGGCAACACTGTGCAATAGTGGAACATGCAATATTGCAACGAGTTAGCTAGCTAGCAAGGTCAGCTTTGAGCTTTTAAGTTGTAACAATAACAACATGAATGCTATTAATATAATGTTGATTAGTCAAATGTTAATGGTATTTGCATTATGGATAAAATCTAGTTTTAATTGCAGTACTATTTTTAAATAGATATGTATACAGAGAACAGTGTATTAGCGAACACCATCATGTTCTATGGTAAGTGAAACAAGAAAAGGACAGAACTGGCTCTTCCTGCTGATGAAAGTGAGGGTGAGATGGGTTTTAGTAACCATGACATAAAGACAGTTCAGGTAAGTTAGCTCAGAGGCAGATGAGACGGGTGTAGAATAGTAAATACTGTAATTATAAATATTGTCAGCTAGAAGCTACATTATTCTGATGCATCTTAATATATTTGACTTATTTATTTTTTAGAATATTTACTGGAGATATTTACGATTTATATTTACTGTATGTTGTATACATGATAATACAATATTAGGTTTATTTTTATAAAATTCAACAAAAAAATGGAATAAATGAAAGCTGTTGGAATATGAGTTGTGGTAAGGTGTGTATAAGTTGTCATTTATAAGTTCTGTGTTAAAGCTTATAATACTGCAACACCAATTAAAATATGTCAAACAAAATTATTTATTATAGAGAAAGTTTTTAATTTGAAATGTCTAAGTTGGACCCATTGTTGGATGTCTTTGCCATAAGGCAACATATCATAAAGTACCTTAAAAAAAGATTTTTTTCCAAACTTTTTTTTTACAGCACTTCAAGTTAAGCCATTTTAAGAAAAACAGTCAAATATTTTTTTAAATAGATATATCATAATGCGTGCGGTAGAGGGTTAAATATGAAACAGCCATTTGGTTCTTGTTACAACCAGTAAAAAGATTAAAAAGTCAGTAATTAGATTTTTTGGTAGTGGTGGAAAATAGTGAAAAAATAGTGTTCATATCGTTCAGCACTTGAGTTAAACATATTCTGTACAATAAAATAAAAATGATTAAAGCAATTAAGTTGTTTTAATTGTGTTCTGTATAATTTTATGTAAACAATTATACATTCTTGATGATTATACTACATCAAGTCTAAAAATGACTAGACCTAAATCATGCAAATTATTATTTTTGCTAATTAAATGCTATTAAAATATATATTAGAACATTTCTTATTAAAATTATATACCATTATAACACAAATTCAATTTTTAATGCGTCAGAAAATGTGGGAAATTTCATGCAATAAAATAGAAGTCAAAGAAACGTTACCTTTTTTAAATTTAATCTTTGCTGAACTTATTTTTTATTATTATTTTTTTAATTAAGCAAGTGTTACCAGATCCTCTTTTGAAATCAAATGTTTTTTCATATAGAATTTTGAATATGATTACATTTTCTTATTAAAGGAAACGTATTATGCAAAAATCACTTTTATAAGGGGTTTAATTTTTTTATAATCACACTTGATAAAAACAGTCTGCAGAAACACTATGATTGACATTCTCTCTTTGTACATGTCATCATAGGGGGAAAGCCTCGACCATAGGTGACAATCTCTCCCTCATTAGCATAGGACATTAGTTTTGTTTTTAAGTCTGCCACTATGCTGACACACGGGCATTTGTAGTGGAGCCCTGCACGGGCCTTAAATCTAAGCCCTAGCCCAGTCCAGGCCCGAGCCGCACAGGCTATAGCCTGGCCCTTGTCTGCCAGCTCATCAAAATTTTTTTGTCCGAGTCCGACCTGAAGCCCGTTTTTTTTCCGACAGACAGCTTATACTGTTACATTCATTAAAATAGAACAGATTTGTATTTAATATAAAGTGTTTTCTTTTTTTTTTAGGTAAGATTTAGTTTAAGTGACATCGATATTTAAGCGGTATGTTGTCCACAGTAAGTTTACTCAATTTAACCCAGTGGCACCTGCAGCCGTTTACATCTTGTGAAAAAAAGGACAGAATAGGTTCCCTTACAAAAATGAAAAGTACAGTACTGTACAAATAAAAAAGACAAATTCAGAGAGTTACCCTGTTTGTGTTAACCAGTCTCATTATTGTATGCTGTTGTTTGTTGTCTTGTTTAGGTGACCTGTACGGAGCTTTGGGCTCTCCGGTGAGAGTGTGTCGAACGGTGGTCGTGGGCCGCAGAAGGGAGCTGGTACAGAGGGTCTTGTATATTCTCTCCTACTTCATTCGCTGCTCGGACCTGCAGGAACATGTGCAACCACAAGGACAAAAGGACAATCCAGCCAATCCCTGCACCTCTCCAACCACTGACCCCAACCCTGCCAGTGAGAGAATCTGCGAAAAAACATTTCCCCCTCCACCAGACACAATAAAGCCCATTCCAGGCACCTTTATGGAGCAAAATGACGAGACTGTTTCAGCAGATACACACTCAACCAATACACCCACTGGTCTAGAAGCGAGCATGGTCAGGCCTGAATGTACTGAAATGGGACCGGAATGTTTTGGAGAACACGTCGACTCTGTTGGAGGTGGATTAGAGCATATTTTGGCAAATCAGAGTCCTCTTCCACAAAGGGTGCAGTTTCACATTGGCAGCCCCAGAGAGGTGGAGAATGTGGGACAGGCTGGGGGTTTGATGTGTGGAGGGCAAGGGTTGGACAGGAAGTTGCATCAAAGGCTTTTGACGGACATAAGGAGGAACGAAAGTTCGGATAGTGCTCTAGGTGACAGTGATGATGAGGAAACATCATCGAGAGAAATGTACATGGCCGCTGAACAAACAGAGTACGAGTTACCACTACCAAGGTAAGCTAAACTCATTTTATTATGAACCCTCTCTTAATATAAACACGTATTTGCCATCTCCAAAAACAGCATTGAACTTGAAACATGGTTTCCACAAATATATGTTGTCAAACAAACAAATGCATTTGAAACCTGACTGTGCACATCTACAGGACAGCGCTGCCTATTTGGTGTTCAGAAACCTAGATATGATCAGGAAATAGATTGTTTAATAATACCAGAAAAACTAATAATTCATCTGTGCATATGTACACTCACCAGCCACTTTATTAGGTACACCTGTCAAACTGCTCGTTAACGCAAATTTCTAATCAGCCAATGACATGGCAGCAACTCAATACATTTTGGCATGTAGACATAGTCGAGACAATCCGCTGCAGTTCAACCGAGCATCAGAATAATGGGAAGAAAGGTGATTTAAGTGACTTTGAATGCGGCATTGGTTATTGGTGCTAGCTGGTCTGAGTATTTCAGAAACTGCTGATCTACTGGGTCTTTCACGCACAACCATCTCTAGGGTTTACAGAGGATGGTTTGAAAATGCCAGAGGTCAGAGGAGAATGGCCAGACTGGTTCCAGCTGATAGAAAGACAACCGTAACTCAAACCACTCATTACAACAAAGATATGCAGAAGAGCATCTCTGAATGCAGAACACATGGAACCTTTGAGCCGGATGGGCTACAGCAGGAGAAAACCACACCGGTCTTCACTGTACACAAATGGCCTCCACAGTCACCAGATCTCATTCAAATAAAGTACCTTTGGGATTTGGTGGAAGGAGATATTTACATTATGGATGACAAATCTGCAGGAACTGCGTAATGCTTTCATGTCAATATAGACCATCTTTGAGGAATATTCCCAGTACCTTGTTGAATCTATCCCACAAAGTATTAAGGCAAATGGGGGTCCAACACGGTAGTAAGGTGCACCTAAAGAAGTGGCTGGTGAGTGTACATCTAAAGGGGTCCTCAATGTCAAATGTTCAAATCTCAATTTTTGTCAATGTCAAAGTTCTGGAAAAACTTGTTTTTAATAAACACACACATACATAAATCCCCAATTTAAAAGAATGAAGTGCCTTTTGCATTTAGAAAAACAATAATAAGTGGAAAATGGCAAAATGACAATGTCAGCTGTTCTTATTAGCAAAATATGGAAAAAAAGGAGAAAATAATTTTCACAAAATTAATTTAAAAATAAGTCAAATTGATAATTTTTCCACAGTGAAAAAGTTTTAATAAGATTTGTGGTTATTTAGTCTTTATAGTCTTCATTTAGTCATTGTCATAATGGTAAAAACTAATGAATAAACAAACTATGGTGATGGTTTTGCCTGTGTATGTGTCTCTTTACAAACGGATTAACCGACATAGTTTGAATCTAAATGCACTTCATAACATCAGTTGTGTTTGAAATAATTTATTTTTTGTTACCACACGTGATTTCACATTCCAGAATGAGGATGAAATCCATTATATAGTATTCTATAAAGTAATGAAGGCTCTGTTGATGAGTGTTGCATGACTCTTTTACTTCAGCTACAGGGGTAGATGATTTCTTCAGTAATGCAGATGTGGAATTTATTTTGGAAAGGCACCCTCTAGTGTCCACCTGTATCAACGACACAGAGGTTATATTAAGTGTGTGCTCGCGTTAAAAAAAATAGGAAAAATACCTTTCTCTAAAGATACAGGAGTTTCTCTCATTAGGTATATACAAGTTATATCAGAAATATTGTGAAAGAGATTTATCTCAATATTAGCATGTAGCACAATATTAGCATATAGAATCACCATCACAAAGCAAATCCTTCAAATAATTTGTTTTTAAGCCATGTCTGCTTTTCGAATCCAAACTGTTTCCAAACAATGTAGTTTTTTTCTACTGATTTTGACCAAAGTTTTTTTTTTTTGGCTGCTTTTTTTTGTCATCTTCACTCGTGCTGATTTTTACAGTAGGCTATAGGTTGATAAAGTTCAGGTGTCAGGAGGGGGTAAAAGGGTGCGACATTCAAAACACATATAAAAACATTCAGAAAAAGTATTAAAACACAGAATGCGACTAAATAAGTGTTTCCTTTTAATTACATTACAATCAAATTTTCCTTATTTTAATCTTGCAGTCCTCAACAGTTTTAAATTTTGATCCTTCATAGTCTTCAAAGCCAGTACACCTCTTTTTCAGTAAAGGTCGCAGTAACCGTGTCTGTTTATTTGTCTAGTTCTCAGGTGGAGAGTCGAGCCAGTGTCAATCATTTTGGCCGTTCTCTGCTGGGCGGCTACTGTCCTCAGTACATGCCCGACTTTGCCCTGCATGGCATCAGCTCAGATCTCAGGCTCAAACAGTGCCTCATGGCTGACCTGGAACACACTGTTCTTGTAAGTGCAATCACATTTCTTTATTGCAGAATACAGTAAACGATTCATCAATTTTGTGTGACAAAATCAATATAATGAGGAAAAAAATCTAGTTTTTGTGTTTTACATATTGGTTATTCTGTATTGGAGATTTTATTGAGGGAAAATCTCATCATATTTTATGTAATAATTCTTTCCAAACGTAAGTTGCTTCTTTTTTTACACACACACACACACACACACACACACACACACACACACACACACACACACACACACACACACACACACACACACACACACACAGTCACAGTCACACACACACACACACACACATAAACAATTGTTATTGAATTAGGAAAATGACTATCCAGTGCTTTTGTAAATCAAGTAAAAGAAATATTGTCAAAAGTAAAGTCATGCAAGCTGGAAAAATAGACTACTATTAATAATATAATAAAATATTATCGTTAATAGACTATTATGATATTATGAAATATTATACTGTTATGGTCTTCATGTTGTCATCTACGACAACGAGCAATAAAGTATTAAAATAATAAAAATATATCCATTTAAATAAAGAAAAAAATATAACTTTGGAAACCAAATGTACCCATATAAAATCAAATCAAATTGTTTATTGATTAGAATATGTAGATTGTTTAGAGTTATTAGAGTTTATAGATTTTTTTCCCACAAAATATGTGGGAAACACGTAACAGTGTATTTGTTTGTGTGGGCTTTTTGAATTCAGTACATCATGAAAACGTGTGTGTTTGTGCAGCATCCAGCACTGGATGAACCGGTGGCCGAGGCTCTTTGTATTGTGGCAGATACGGATCGACTGAGTGTTCAGGTGGTGACGAGTCAGAGGCGAATGTGTGAAGGCGGACGGTTGGGCAGAGACGTGATGGTGTCCAACCTCATACACACACTCATCACATCAGTTCTGCAGCTGTATGCACTCAACATCGCTGCTGATTTTGTAAGTCTCTTTAACGCATTTACAAGCGTATTTACAATTCAGTCATATTCAGTAAATGTTTGCAGTATGATTTTTATTTTATTTTTTAATCCTTTTTTAATAAATGAATAAATGAGCTATCTTATTGTAATATTTATAAAAACTGACCCATATAGAGATATTTTTCCTTCAATAACTTTGTTTTTTAACTATAGGGTATTCCAACTATATTTTAATGATCTTCATAACATAGGAAAGAAATTAGAATATTTATCATATAGTAATGTTAAAAAATTATCTAATTCATGGATTCATATGTTTGTGGTTTTTACTTAAATATTTGTTAATGAAATATTTTTGTAATGAAAATAGCTGTGTTGCTGACATGGCATTAATCATGTTTTTTGAAAGTAATAGATCGCTTTGTAAGCGTTTATTATTCACACTTGTTGGGTCTCCTCGTACAGTTTGATAGAGCACTTGGACCCGGAAGCCACTTCGTGTGACGTCACACTTAACAAGCAAATTAGGGCTAAAATATACAAATAACAAGAAATTGTAAGATCACCCTGCTGAAAAATCCAACTTTAACCAGTCTAGGCTGTTTGGCTGGTTTTAGCTGGTCGACCAACCTGATTTTAGAGGGGTTTTGGGCACTTCCAGGGTGGTTTCCAGTCGTTTCCAGCCTGGTCTTAGCGTGTCAGGCTAGGATATAACCAGCTTGACCAGCCTAGCCAAGCTGGGAGTCCGACCAAATCCAGCTGTATCCAGCTTAAACCAGGCTGGTCAAGTTGGTTTTAGCTGGATTTGGCTGGTCATTTTCCAGCCTGACCAGCTAAGACCAGGCAGGAAATGGCTGGAAACCAGCCTGGAAATGGCTAAAACCCCTCTAAAACCAGGCTGGTTGACCAGCTTAAAACCAGCCAACCAGCCAAGGCTGGATTTTTCAGCCGGGCAGGTCATTAAAATAAACAAAAATGTCACCTCTCAGATCTCCAACAACACTGCTGACTCCAAAAAGGAAGCAGTTGGGTTTTCTATATGCATGTGTTCTCTGAACTAGCAGTGTGTTTTTTTGTTTGCATGTTTTGTTAGAATTTACGTGAGCGTGTGTTATCAACATAATTAATTTTACAGTCTTACTGTAAATTTTTTTTTTCTTAACTTGCAGCAGGTTTTAGCTCAGCACATAACAAATAATGTTGATATTTGAACTTTTTTCTGTGTAAATCATTTCAGTGTGTGATGCATTTGGAGGACCGCTTACAGGAGGTGTACTTTAAGAGTCGGTCCTTAGCAGAATATCTGAGAGGACAAACCAGGGTCCATGTAAAAGAGCTGGGGCTTGCACTGGGGTAAGACTACAATTACTGTAACTTATTGTTTCTGATCCTACACTTAAAGGGTTAGTACACGCAAAAAAAGAAAAAGTGCCTCATCATTTACTCTTCCTCAAGTGGTTGTAAATGTTTGAGTTTCTTTATTCTGTCAAACATAAAAGAATGCTATTTGCTGGGTCCTATCAACTTCTAGAATCAGAAAACCAAATATTATGGAAGTCAATGGGTGCCAGCTTTATTTAAAAAAAATCTTCAATCGTGTTCAACCAAAAAGAAAGAAACTCAAACAGGGTTTGAACAAGTGAAGAGTAAATAACAGAATTTTCATTTTGTGTGAACCACCCCTTTAAGTCCCTGTTTTCACTTGGTCTATGGTATTAACATGCATTTTCAGTGATCCATTAACAAGTATTGCACTACACTAAGCAGTTGACTGTGTTTATCTATTATATATGTTTTAAATGCATATTTTCTGATCACTTGTGTTTGGATTTTGAAGTAAATGGAAAAATATATAATGGCTGGAAACTATGATATTTTATTTTTTCCTCCACTGGAATTACAAATATTTTGACATTTTATTTATGTGAAATCCAACTATGAACTTATATTGTATTTCCATATATTTTCATGTACCTATTAATTTTTATATGGGAACCTAACATTAATATCTTGTTTTGTTGCGATTTCCTTCAGCACATGCCTTAATGAATGTTTGCTCAATAGGCTGAAAGTAGATGGTCTTTTTAGTCTGTTTAAATGCATTTGATCACACAAGTATCTCAGCAGTTTGTTGAAATGCAAAGTGGTCAAATGTGGACAACAGTAAAGTGTTTCATACCCTGTTTACATTATTATTTATTATTTACATTATTAATAACTGTTTACGTTTGTTATTTTATTATTGTCCACTTTTGATTGGATTGATGGAACCTTAAAGGCACAGTTCACCCACTTATTTACTCACCTGTCACAAACCCTTTTGAATTTCTTTCCTCTGTAGAACACAAAAGAAGATATTTTGAAGAATGCTGGACTTCCATACTATTTGTTTTCCCTGGATGTCTGTGGTTACCAGTTTCCAACATTCTTCAAAATATCTTCTTTTGTGTTCAGCGAAGAAAATCTTAACTGTTTGGAACTGCTTTAGGGTGAGTAAATGGTGAGTACATTTTTATTTTTGCGTGAACTATCCCTTTAACACCATGTGTGAAATGATATTTATGGTATTCTAAATGCAAGAAGTGTCAATATAAAACTGATTCTCTTAAAATTTGTCCTTTATTTTTGTCTTTCCAGGATTGAGTCTAGTGACATTCCATTGCTTGCAGCAGTGGCCAGCACACATTCACCTTACGTGGCCCAGATCCTTCTTTAAATGGACCAAACAAGACTTAATTTTAAGGACCAATCAGAATGTGTTCCTGTTCTGCATGGACCAGCAAGGATCTGATCCCTATCAGATGACCACACCAATCACAATGCAATGCTCGACAACCAATCAGAGCTCATGTTCAGCCTTAATCTACCAATCAGAATGCCTCGTATGTCCAGCTGACAGTCTTTTGTGTGTGTGTGTTTATGTGTGAATCTATAGAGTGAATCCTGCACCACATTAGGACATTTGTTAATGCTTGTTTTAAATTTGACCTCATGTTTTATTTGAAAGGGAAGACTAGAGACAGCGAATATTATAGATTGAAAAATAAATTTTATTTAAATGCACAATAGTTTAGTTCTAGAAAGAGCATGAGCTCTTCCTAGAAGAGCGTGTTTACACCAGGAGCCACATTTTGTAGCATTTGTGAGACTTGGCTCCTCTCAGAAGAAATTATTCAGTCAAAATTTGGTTTTAAAAATGCACTCCCCCTCATGTTGTACCAAGTCTGCAGGATTTTCCTCTTTTTGAACGATATCCTGGACACTCTTGTCTATATAATAAAAGCGAAGTATTTTTAAAGTCAAGGGGCTCTATTTTATCGATCTTGGCGCAAAGTCCAAAGCGCAGGGCGCAAAAGCATTAAGGGCGTGTCTGAATTTACTTTTGCTATATTAAGCACGGAAAAACCCACTTTGCGCAGTGGCGCATGGTCTAACAGGGTTGAGCTTATTCTCTTAATGAGTTATAGGTGTGTTTTGAGAATAAACCAATCAGTCTCATCTCCCATTCCCTTTAAGAGGCAGCTGTGTTGCGCCCATAGCGCATTTGCTATTTACATGATGGACTTTGTAAGTGGAAAAACTGAACGCTTCACTAGGGAGAAAACAGTTGAACAGACCATTGGTAGCGCGAGAATGAGAGATGAGCCTCCTCATTCTTTACTTTCACTTTCACTCTCTTTCACTTTCACTATTTGTTTCAAAACTATTTATAAATTTAGTTCTAATTTCCAGCAAACAAATAAATGTGCAATAATAACGAAGTGTGTTCAAAAAACTGAGTTATTTACAAATACACATGCTATGCCTGATATGGTCTAAAACCTGACAAGTGGACAAGTCTAAGCTTGTTTTTAATAAAACAAATATAAATATGGATATAATAAATAATACTGCTTATAATGATAACATTATACAAAAGCAAGTTGTCATGAATACACTGAAAAAGCCCCCCCGAGATGAAGAAGGCATGGAGACGGTGGTTTTTATATTTATGTAGAAAATAATCATGTTTGTAATTTTCTATTCCTTTAATTCTTTTTTCATTTGTAAAGATATTTGCGTATTACTGTACATCCTGTGTGTATTAAGCAATGTGTAAGTGAGGCGCACAACTGACGCGCTTTGTGCTGGACTTTAGACCTCCTCTTAGCTGGTCTATTGAGCGGTCTTTTTTAGATCCTTAAAATAGCAACGCACCAGCAATTCGCCTTAACACACCTCCTTTTTAAGATCAGATCGCCTATGGCTGCACATTTGAGCGCAAATGCATTTGCTATTTAAACAGCGTGGTGCAACACTTCAAAACGACACTTGCATCAAGCTGAAACTAGCAAACAACAATTGCGTCATGCCTTGCACCGCGTTGCGCCGGGTGTATGATAGGATCTTCTAAATGTCAGTGAACTTTTGTTTTTGTTTTGGTATCTAAAAAAAATCCCATTGATTTGGAACAACATGAGATTGAATATGAATCATTTTAATGTTTGACAGAAATAATTTAACAGAAATTCCATCCGTCCAACTGGCACAAGCATGGCATAGCTCTGAAATCTAAACTACTTTATTGGAATGTTATTTATGTAAAGCATCAATTTGGTCCTGAAAGAAAGATTTCACAATGTCAATATTTGGAATTTGATTGAATCAATCAATTTTCATTGTGTCTAGCCCAGTGTAATCTTAAGGTATTTTTAAATCCCTAATTTAAAGATTATTTAATTATTTTAAGGCATTATTTCTGAATTTGTGTGTGTGTGTGTGTGTGTGTGCGTGTTGTATGGAATGACAGTGTGTGCTTCAATCTCAGAAAGATGAGAGAATGTTTACATAATTGAAGGAGAGGTATATTAAACTGTGTTACTGTTGATTACTGGACAGTCCACAGATTGTGGATTGCAGTATTAATCTGGTGCTACTGTTTTATTAAAGGCTTACAAAAGCACATGCTCACTTTTACGGCCTGTCCTTGCGAATGCTTTATATTTCAGTGGTCTACGCCATTATAAGTCAAACGTCACAGCAATAGAACCCCAAGTTTGTGACAAGTTTTTGTTTATTGTTCCACCTTAAACACCTAGAGAAAGATGATTATTTTTGATATTTTTTACAGAATACTCTACCTCAAGTGAGAGATCTGAAAGTGGCCTGATGAAGTGAGTTAATGGGATTGATCAGTTTGTGTCACACATCAAGAATGCAGCGTGCTGATGGCGTCAGAGCATTTTAGTTTAAAACAAGCATCTTATACAGGTGTAAACGTCCCTAGTGAATTTCTGTACTGAAAATAAATGTAAAGGTGTCTCTTTTTTTTACAAACATATATAATGTTTTGTTGAGGTTGGAATTTTGAACACTAAAGTTCTGCCACTTTTAGTAGTCTCTTTTGAGGCTAACAGATGTAATCTTTTGGTCTGTTCTGTGCATGGTGTTTACACTTTAGGTTGAATGCGGTTGAGTATTTTGTCTGTGACAATAGGATGTTGATAAGATCTAAACTAGTGATGAATAAACAAATTTCCAGGAACTCTGCTGTTTTGTTACATGTCTTTATTCTCTGTTAAGTTTGTGATCAATTATATATAATTTCAAGTCAGGAAGTAAACTTCTAAACTCTGAACTATAATCATATTGTTTTCGAGGCGTAATGAAGTAGGGGAAAGCAGGGTAAGTTGTCACACTTTTCATACTTTCTACCTTTTACTGAGCACCATACGTCACAATGTAATAAATGACATACCAAATGAAAGTAGGAAGTCTCGGGCACATTTTCATACCTTATCGGATTAAGGAGCTGTAGACTATTGAATGGAGAAGGTGCACTTGTGACAATCTGTCCCATCGGCAGGTAAGTTGTCAAACTAGATTATCTGAAAATAAGAACACAACTACCTAATAGTGATTATTGATTCTTAATTGTTAAATAAAATTTTAAAAACTTGACAAAAAAAAAAATCATGCCAAGAGAATTTGAAAATATATATATTTCTATCAATACACGTTCAAATCAAAACATATTAACTGACAAGACAACTTCACTTTGAATATTAAACTCAAATGTTCTCTGATCGCGCATAGATCTATGATAACTGAATGGAATGCTGCAGATAATTTGCATAACATCCGTCTAGCCTCCGAACAAATTGATGCCTTGTGTCTGATTAAGGGCAGAGTTGGTGCTGTGACCTGGCACGACAGAGTTCTGATTCTAAATATAGAGTGATCTGTGATGTAGGATTGTGCAAGGATGCAGGATGGTTTCTAGAAATACATTTCTGTGATAAAGTTGAATGCAGCCACCCTAAAGTCAGCCTGAATGTTTAGGGGGGTTGCAGCCAGAGGATATGCAATTGCCACAAGCCCAGGAACTTCCTTCCCTAATTACTGCCTTTCCTTTCTTAATTCACATGTGACAACTTGCCCCAAACTGACATTTGTACTAATGTTGGCGAAATTTCAGGGTTAGTGCAACATAGCAAACATATCAAAAGACACATTACTGTCATCTATTTTGTGCAAAATAATAATTTTCCACATCTTTAGCTAACAATGTTGTACTAAATGAAATTTAAACTGATTTGTTTTTACTTTTTAGGCCAAAATAAAAATAAGGAAAGTGTGCTAACCACAGTTTAGAGCAATCTTGAACACATGTGAACAAGAGGTTGACTATAGAGGAGTCACACAAAGTGACTCTTTGATTTTTAAGATGGCACCACTATTGGTGGAGTTATGAACAGTGTGACAAAACCCCACTCTCCCCAACAGTTATTTTTATACACTATTTAGAAATGTAGGGTGAATTTGGGTAATCTTGGACATTGGGTAATCTGGGAAGCTTCTGTGTGTTTTTCTGTTCTGACAAAATTCAGGCAACAGGACTTTTATTATAAATTTAGCATGGACTTCATGTGAGTGAAATCACATGACTTCATTGGGGGGTTCCATACAGGGTGGCAGGGCACTTGTCAATCAGGAAGCTCTCATCAAAATTGGATGACAAGGTCAGTGACATATGATTCTGGCTAGATTAATGTTAAGGACATAAACCTGTCATAAATAAGACAATATTCCCAATTGTTGTTAAATTATGTTTGTGATCTATTCAAGTAACAAAATATGTATTAAAGTGTTGAAAATGTTGTTGTTTTTTTTTTTAGATTTTTTTTCTTTCAAACATTTTTTGTTTTCCCACATTATTAAATATGATTGATAATGTGGGACAGCATGGTTTGGGTAATCTGGGACAGCCTTCGAATGAGAGAAATATGCATTTAGAGACAATAAGTTTAATGACTACAAAGATGGAATGTACAATGTTCTGTACACAAACTCACACAAACACAAACCCCCACACACACTTTTCAAAAATTGGTAAAATTGTGTTTGGCATGCAAAAATATGGAAAATATGTACTTTTTCAGCCCAAATACATAATATCCCAGATTACGAAGTGACCTGTCCCAGATTATCAAATTCAGGCAGAATTTTTGTTTTTGACACCAAAATACTAATAGTTGTGGCATGACTCGATTCAGTATGATATTATGTTTTCTTAGGTGGTTAGAAAAAATCTTAGGGATTTCAGAAAAGGCTGATATGTGGTTATAATTAGTTAGATAGACATATAGAGCGCTGAAGTCAGAATTGCAAAAAGTGTCCCAGATTACCCGAATTCACACTATATGTAAGTGCATTTGACCTTTAAGTTACAACCTTTGTGCACAACAATTACAGCATTTCACGCACATTGTTAGTCTTCATGTTAACAAGTAATCTTTGCAATACACTGAATAAAAGATTTAATTTGTTTTGGTAATTTTTGGTGCTGGGGCCTGGCAAGAAGTAACCATTTATTTCTTTTGAGGTGGATATTAACCATGCTTTGCTAGCAACATTACAGTCATCAATGTCAAACAATCCTCCAGAAATCATTCTAATATGATGATTTTATGTTCAACGAACTTTTTTTGTTGTGCGCAGCGGGTAGCACGTTTGCCTCACAGCAAGAAGGTCGCTGGTTCGCTGGTTCGCTCCTCGGCTCAGTTGGCGTTTCTGTGTGGAGTTTCCCTGCGTTCGCGTGGGTTTCCTCCGGGTGCTCCGGTTTCCCCAGTCCAAAGACATGCAGCACAGGTGAAATGGGTAGGCTAAATTGTCCGTAGTGTATGAGTGTGTGTGTGTGTGTGTGTGTGTGTGTGTGTGTTTCCCAGAGATGGGTTGCGGCTGGAAGGGCATCCGCTTTGTAAAAACTTGCTGTGGCGACCCCGGATTAAGAAAGGGACTAAACTGACAAGAAAATGAATGAATGAATGCCCTGGAGCCTACCTTTGAGTCTGTGTTTATGTGATTAATTTAGGAGAAATACATTTTTATTTTAAGCAGCAAGCTAAATGCTGATATTCAAAGAACCTGTATATTTCTCAAGTCAGAATAAAGTTTGTCTAGAAAGTTTGTCTTGTTTTCGTACCGCACAAGCTCCGGTAAAGTAGGTGGCGGTAGTGCACCTCATCGTTATATGTCGACTGTCATTAAAAAAAGAGGAAGAAGAAGAGACTGCAGTAGGGAGCGAGACGCGCCTGGGCAGCTGATTCTGCCTCCCGTGACTGTCTCTATTGTAGTCTACTTCACAGGCCAATACCTCTCATAACTATCATGGGCAGATGTTGTACGGATATCTGGATTATATTGGAGAATAAACCCCGAATTCTGTGAAGACGCATGAAATAAAATAGTAAGTGCCTTTTAGGACTATGTGAGATGTGAGCTAGCCGCTAACAGTGTAGTATTTACCTTCCAGAATAACTAGCGTTACTTCCCTCATTTATTAGAGATTTAAACTATTAAGTTAGCTGCTCTATTATATTTGCTTCCACACTTTGTTTTTATTGTTGGCATGTACAGTGTGTGTTAATAAGCTTACAAAGACAAGGCGTTCTTTTGTCTTATTGAGGTTTGCATGAGGATTTGTGTTTGATAGACTAACGTTAGGGATGCAGTTTGTGAAAAGGATAAATGTTACTCATTTGCTTAATAGTTTATGTTGTAGTAATTTATTATGTTTTCTGTTATTTTGTTTAATTGAAGCTCAGTTATGTGCAGTTAACTTTACCAGAATTCACCATGGTAACCACCAGAGCTTCCTCTGTCCAGTTGTTTTTTAACTACTCTAGTAGCTGAAGTAGTTACAGTACACGAGAGAACCAGATAGATTCTCATTGCACTAATTCATTTTAAATTGTATATAACCACTGCACATATACATTTGTAATTCATGTCCATATCTATCTGCTTACCTCTGATTATGAATAGCAACCTGTACTTTATAACTTATATCCTGCACTTGCTGCTATTACACTCCTGGTTAGACCTAAACTGCATTTCGTTGCTTTGTAAATGTGTAATGACAACAAAGTTGATTCTGATATAATCTAAAATTCATAAATTGAATAATAATTTTGAATTCAGTAATTATTCAAACAAAACAACTAAAAACCACAATTATTATTATTATTACCATTTTATATGTGTATATATGACGTAAAGTACATTTTTATCCAAAGTGATTTAAACAATTCCAGCTTTATGGATGTGACATTTGCAGTAAAAACATAAAACAAATTCAAATAGAAAGTAAATGTTGACTGTATATTGAAACATCTGTTTAAATTTCTGAAACAACTAAGCACAGAGTTATGAGATCAGAAAAAGATCAATCTGTAAGCTGGTGTGTATGTGTGTGTGTGTGTGTGTGTGTGTGTATATATATATATATATATATATATATATATATATGGTTAATAAAGACAGAAAAGTAATGCAAACAAAACAAACAAAAAGACAAAAGACAGAAAAAAGATTTTAAAACCATCATTACATCAGTTGCTCCAGTATTATTTGTGGGTCAACAGTGATACACGTATATATTTAGGCCAGTGGACAGACACAGGGATTATAAGGATCTTGCACATGATGACAGGGTTATACCTTAAAAATGTTATCCTTGGCATTTGATAGATAATTAAAAAGGGTTTCCAGGTGGCTTCGAAGCCAGTAAGGTTATCAGATACATAAAAAAAAAAAAAATTTAAATAAGGAATATAAATATGTGTGTGAGTTTACAGTATACAACATATTTTGTAGAAATTCTGTGAACTAAGCTGCACAACTCAAAAAAAACAATGCTAATCAAAAGGATAAGAGTCGGCTCTCTATAGAGCAAAAATCATTAATTTTATTTTATTTTACATTTTTTAATTTTTGAGGAAAAAGCTTGATTATTGACGTGACACTTCACCATGTGACATGTGAAATTGCAGCTTGTGTGAGTTTGGTAAATCAAATTTAATTGTTTGAGTATTTTTACAGTACTTTCAAATATGGCTGCACGATTTGGAGAAAAAAATCTAATTGTGATTTATCTGATCAAGATTGCGATTGCAATTTAAAATGCGATTTACTGTAATTTCATAAAAAAGCTGCAGGTTTGATGTGGTGGTTTTAATAGCACCAAAGAAAGACTAAGCATAATTACAAAGTACGCTATGCTACTGTTTATTTAAAACCACTTTTTCCAATAAATATGTCAGTTGTCATGTTAAATTAAGAAAATAACAATAAATTGTGTCTAAAATCTTAATTATTTATATATATATATATATATATATATATATATATATATATATATATAACCTTTACATTTAGATTGTGTTACATTTTTCATATTGATTTAATGACATTCTATGCTTTCCATGCACAATTATAGATTTTACTTCACAGCACAAGATTTCTCATATTTGAATGCATAGTTTCTAAATGGATTAGATTTAGATTTTGCAATTTTGTCCTCTCACAGATTGGGTCAGATTAAGGTCTGACCATGTAATCCAATCATACGCTTGATTTGGATCAAACCTCCCTTTGGGCTATTCAAAACTTTGAACTCAGATTGGGATCTATTTGAGACCATCAGAAGGGTGGATTCAGTTGTGATTTTTAACCAAATAAGCAAGTTTTATTTTTTAAGTGAATGATTACAAACTTAATGGTTACTGATGATATATAAATTTCTTCATATTTGAAGCCCATATGAAGCGTGTCACATCTAATAAGATATTGTAAACAACAAAACAAAATCAAAGCAGGATTGTATTAGAACAAATAAAAATGTAAAATGTATGTTCTTTGCATTTATATTTACTAAATGCATTTATATTTATATATTATTATATACAATTTTGTCTTTTACAACAAGCAATCAGATATATGAACTGTACTTTTATTTTACCCGCTCCAAGAAAACACTCTTTGAACGTATCAAACTAAACTCAAATGCATGCACAAAACAACTCGAGCATTTATAGCAAATAAATAAATTTAAATAGTATCCTGCTTGCTTTTTGAACGTTGTCAAGTGAGTTCTTAAACACTTGTGATCGGTCATTGTGTTCCCGCACTCAACACAAGGGCCATAATAATAATCAAATAAATTGCATCTTTTGCAATTAGAAAATGGCACCTTTTCAAATCTCGATTTCAGTTTAAAATTGATTAATCATGCAGCCCTACTTTGAAATACAAGTCTAAGCAAACAACGTAGAAAGGATTTCACTCTTTTAATGAAAACTTAAATTTTTTATGGGAAGGTTGACATTTATGAATTGCTTATATACAAAAATGAAACAAAGCATTTTGTCAAAAACTGAACAATAGCTGACGCAATAATGCGCAATGGTAGGTTTTTTTTAGACACCTAAATAAGGAAACAAGCTGGAAAAGAGAAGAAGCATTGATATGTATGACAAATAAGCAAAAACTAACAAGACTGTCTCTACTTTTTTATTAGCTCAGAACATTTGCCACTGCAAAGTTTACCCATACATTTTAAAGTTTGATTTGCATGTTTTCAAGGCATGTCAAGAAATTATGTTTGTAGCTTTAAGATTACTTGTGTTTAATTATTTATGCAATGAGGGGTTGTTTTAGATATATTTCTGTACTGTTTGACGCTCAAGAGCCCAGTTTTTCAAAAGTAATCCAGTGGGATTTTACATCACAGATTGGGTCAAATCTTGGAAATGGGTTTTTCAGAAGTAACAGAGGGATTTTGAATTAAGGTCAGACCATGTAATCCAATCATACAATTGATCTGGATCAAACCTGCCTTTTTGGATTATTCAAAACTTTCAACTCAGATTGGGATCTATTTGACCCAAAAAAACAGGATTATCCTGATCCCATCAGAAGGGTGGATTCAGTTGTGATTTTTTTATTTATTTTTTTTTACCAAATGAACCACATAGAATAAACAAGTTTTATTTTTTTAAGTGAATGATCACAAGCTTAATGGTTACTGATGATGTATAGATTCCTTCATATTTGAAGCCTATGAATCATGTAACATCTAATGAGATATGGTAAACAACAACAACTAAACTATATCAAAGCAGTATAGTATTAGAACAAACAAAAATATAAAAGGTTTGTTGTTTGCAGTGTTTCTCTTTCTTACCATTAAAAAAACTTTAGCTATGTTTCTATCCAAATATTCTAATGAACTTTATGCACAAAACTGGAATATTGCATATAAGATGTGCAAATAAAGCAGTGTTTCCAAGTAGACAAAGTGAGCAAAATCATTACTTCCTGATTAACTGGTGCCAAATATTAGCAGTAAAAATGGAATTTGCCGCGGTAGGATAAGCTCTGTGAATTTTTTTAAAGTGAATAAATGACTTGCACCTTAAAAGATGATGCCGACACGCAATGACCACATGGTGGCATTTGAAGGCGTCAGATGCGGAGCACAGATGCTCTTCACAGTTCTGGAGGTAATTACTAATGTAATGATGACACTAATACTGAAATGGTTAAGGTGTTTTAAAATGACTAAAACAACATTTCAGATGTTTTACAGTGTGCTAAGCCTGCTGGTTTGTCCATTCATGTGCATTTTGATCACATGATCTCCTATAACAAAATCACATGACTTATTTTTAATGTGCATACTGGAATTTGTTCTGTAAAAGTGTTTGTTCCATAGTAGTTTATGCACATCTTTTCTATTGAATAAATGTTTGTCCTACTCGGTTATGCAAATATATTTTTTTATGCGCATTTTCAAAATGTATGTGCATCTCGGTGTTTCCATCTATGGTTTTTTTTATTTGCAAATCCAAAATGGGCATAAAAATGGGTGGATAGAAACTTAGCTAATGGCTGTTTGTGGCCACTGGTATTTTGCCTATTACCTGTTGTTCTTTGCTAAACCAGGAGGCTACACTGTTGGTTCCATTTAGGCTCTGGTAAACAGTATTTGGTAATCCTAAATTTTGGTATTTGGATCACAGTGATCCAACTCAATTTTCCTTAAAAAAAACAGTCATAAAAGTAAGATATATTAGTTAATCCTGGATAGCAAAACATGGACCCTATTGATTCAGATTAAATTTTTCGAAAAACTGGGCACTGGTGAAACTTATATAATCAAAATATTGCAATTAATTTATCTTCCCGATATCATGCAACTTTAAGGCTACGTTTACACTGCGAAGCTTATATGATTTTTTTTCTCAGATCTGATGTGTTTGCATGGCTGTTTACACTGCTCTTATAAATGTGGCCAATATGTGGTCCTAAACTGACTGGCATGCACAAAAGTACATTACGGAGAGCACAAAATGTCTAATTATGCACATAATGTGTAAACTGTATGAGGTAAGCACGTTGTCAGATCATGCTTGTATGATTATTACCCTTTTCCAGACAACCTTGGTGTTTTCATGAACTGTAAAGGGTTGTTCTGTTACTACTAATGTGTATTTTGGCATTTGAGACCTAAAATAAGTCTCTTTTGATTTACAATACTGATCATTTGCGATTTATGATAACAGCAGTGCGTGGCGCTCTGACCACCAGTGTATAGTGAACTCATCAAATTTAATGAGCAGCCGCAGACTGAACTGTGAAGACAGAGTTGGTTTATCTCTGTTTGCTGTTATTTCATTTTACTTCGTTATAAATAACAGGCATGTGCAGAAGGGGGGTTTGGGTGCTCGAGCACCTGCTCTTTTGTCTCTCTCGGAGAGAAAGTTCCCCGTCCTTTGCACACCGATCCCCTATCCGCAACACCCACGACGCTCTTCGGCTTTGCGATCAACCCATGCCTCAATCATTGACAAGCATCAGTTTTGCCTTCAGAATCTATTTCAACATGAACAACCAGCTTTCTGTGATACAGTAATCGCCATGTGTGCCATTTTACTATTCCGACATAACCGTTCACACTGCGGTCACATTGCAAAACATCAGGGGCCTCATGTATCAACGCTGCGTACACACAAAAACTTTGCGTACGCCAGGTTTCACGCTCAGAATCGCTCACGTTTGGATTTACTAACGATGAACTGAACGTGGGAATGTGCGCAGCTCCACGCCAGCTTTATGGCTGGCATACGCACATTTTTTGTGCGTGTCTGTTTTATTTCCATTGGCGACTCCTAGAGGCAGTTGTGTTAAATTCGGGGGGAAAAAGAAAAAAGAGTTCATCAGACGCTGGTTTCGAACCGAGTTCATGCTCGAATGTGTCAAAACATGTTGACATGCGTCTTACTAGCTTCGCCTCTGAGACTGTTATGGTATTGCAACATTTTACACCTATAAACCACACTATTTATTTTTTAAATTCACTCAGTGTAATGTTCATACCCAAACTGTGTTAACCGCATCAGCTAAACTCTCCCACTCTAATTTTTTTTTTTTTGTTGTTAATTCCGGAGAACAAACTTGCAAATAACACTTTTTTCCGGTCTACCTCCGAAAGCAGCACCTCCAATTCACATTCTGTTCAAAGTTTCTCTTTTTGCTTGGTTTTGCCATTGCTTTTTCGTTGGGTTTTGCCAAAGAAGAGTCATTAGCATATTCATACGGGGGAGGAGGCAGGGAGGGGTTTTGTGCTCGTGCATGTTGCGCTCAGTTTCACGTTTATTCGGATGTACAAAAGAATATGCGTGAGATTCATTTAAAAAGCTGTAAATGTGCGTATGCAGAAAAAAATTCAGATGTATGAAACACTGCGTACGCCGAATCTCACGCATATTCTTTTGTTTTAGTATGATTTCCACGCAAGTCTTCGTACATGAGGCCCCAGGTCAGTGTCTGATTTAATACTACATATGAAAATGGCACAAATCTGAACTGAAAAGATCAGATTCGATGCGGTTTGGGCTGTTCACATGGTCATTACTTGAGTCATATGAGGGGGGAAAAATCAGATTCGGGCCACATTTGGCTGCAGTGTGAACGTAGCCTAATTGTAGTCATACGCCTTTAATGACATCTATTCTATTTGTTCTCAGGTCATGGATTTCCCGGGGCACTTTGAGCAGATTTTCCAGCAGCTGAACTTCCAGCGGCTGCATGGACAGCTGTGTGACTGCGTGATCATGGTTGGCAGCCGTCATTTCAAGGCCCACCGCGCTGTGCTGTCTGCCTGCAGTACGCATTTCCGAGCCCTGTTTACTGCGGCTGAGGGAGATGCCAGCACAAGAATGATCCACCTGGACTCTGAGGTGGTGACCGCTGAAGCGTTTGCTGCTCTCATGGATATGATGTACACATCCACACTGATGCTGGGAGAGAGTAACGTGATGGATGTATTGTTGGCTGCTTCTCATCTGCATCTAAATGCTGTGGTGAAAGCCTGTAAGCACTACCTGACAACGCGCACTTTACCCATGTCTCCACCTGGAGATCGTGGCAGTCAACATCACACTGAGCAACAGCAAGCGGCGGCGGCTGCCAACTCTCATCTTCAGCGATCATTTCTGCTCCAGCAGCTCGGCTTGAGCTTGGTTAGTTCTGCCTTGAGTGGGGCTGAAGATGGGGGAACGGGGACGCAGCGGAGAACGGGTGCGGTGTGCGGAAATGGATTGGGGGATCAGCATGGTTCTCACCCAACACGCCGTTTCTTAAAACGCAAGCAGCCCTTACCCCTGATTACTTCAGAAAGGGGAAGGCCACGGCTTTCCTCACAGGTGGAGGGCATCGTGGGGGAGTCAGGGGGCCGAGATGGAGGAGAGGAGCTTCTGTCTCCAGATTCACACAGTAAAATGGTGGACGAAGTGGTCACTGGCGTTATTCCCATGGATGATGGAGGTTTACTGGAGCAGGATGAATATCGAAGGGGACTGACCCATGAGGACATGCAGCTCCCGAGCCAGTCAGATGGAGGAAGGGGAACAGGAGCAGAAAAAGCATTGCTGCTGCCGCGAAAAGAGGAGTACCCAGATGCAGGTCGTCACCATGATGAGGGGATGAAGATAAAGAATGGAGATGAGGAGGAAGAGCAACAGCACATGCAGGTCGTGGTGAAGAGCGAGCCACTGAGTTCACCCGAGGCGGTGGATGAGACTAGCGATGTTACCTCACAGGCAGAAGGCAGTGATCAGGTAATTGTTTTTAACTCTTAAAATAAAAAAGGAGATGAGAAATACAGTCTTGATACTGAAGGGTCACTGTCCTGCAGAGTTCATTTTCAGACATCTCCAAAAAAAGTTCTTTGGAAGTTTCTAGTGAGTCTGAACATTATTCTTTTTCAGGTTCACGTGTGTTTAGTTAGAAAGGCTGCAGCATGATTTTGTATTGCTAAGTGAAAGTAAACTCTTTTCTGCCATTGTTTTAGACTTTTTTAATTAATTTGCTTATGGTGAAATGACTAGGAATGATAAACAGTCAAGTGTACCTAACTATAATAAAATATCCGTTTGCAACATCAAGCAACATAACAAGCTGATTCTTTGGCAAAAAATTTACGGATCATTAATTCGCTATAATGGAAACGATTTCCCCTCACATTCCAGCAGTAATGGAAAAATAACGAAGGGTCACTGCCAATGCTGTTTGGTTTTTGTGTCGTTTTCTAGTAAAATATTTATATGTGTGTATGTATGTGTATATGTATGTGTGTATATACAGTTGAAGTCAGAATTATTAGCCCCCCTGTTTGTTTTTGTCTCCAATTTCTGTTTAAAGGAGAGATTTTTTTCAACACATTTCTAAACATAATAGTTTTAATAACTCATTTCTAATAACTTATTAATTTGATCTTTGCCATGATGACTGTAAATAATATTTTACAAGATATTTATCAAGACACTTCTATACAGCTTAAAGTGACCTTTTAAGGGTTTAACTAGGTTAATTAGGTTAACTAGGCAGGCTAGAGTAATTAGGCAAGTTATTGTATAATTATGGTTTGTTCAGTAGACAATCGGAAAAAATATAGCCTAAAGGGGATAATTCTGACTTTAACTGTATGTATGTGTGTGTGTGTGTGTGTATATATATATGTATATATATATATATGTATATATATATATATATATATATATATATATATATATATATATATATACATATACATATACATATATATTATATGAAAAACATACTTGTATGTGCAAGTTAATTTTGTAAACTGAAGGCATCTACCCCAGAGGCTTTCAGTGTTGTTACAGTACTGGTATTTTTGTACCAATCTGTACTGAGATTTAAAAAACATTAATTTCCTGCTAACATTGGAGTTTCAAAGCCATGAATATGAGCTGGTCTGACGTATGAATGATCCGCTGATGGATTGCCTGATCTTCGTGGCTTTGAAACTTGCACTTGGTGAACAGCAGTAAAGTGTCGTGAACTGATTAGCTCCACGGCCAATCACAGTCATTTCTCAACAGTGCTCAGATGTTAGTGTTAAATAGAGAATTAAAAAATGTAGGTACTGATCAGTACAGAAATTCCAGCATCGCGACAACACTAATACCTTCCTGCAACCTTGATCAAATGCACCAATCTAGTGCAAGTGCACTACCAAGTGCTCCTTCAGATCCAGGCTTGATCAGGGTTAGAGCTGAACTCTGCAAGAAGGTATATCTCCAGGAACAGGATTGAGCACTCCTGTCCTGATCTACCCAACACCACATGGTAAACTTTACTACCACAACACACACTTTAGTAAGGTGTACTTTCACTTTTGAATTCACATTAATTCATGCGTTTAAACAAATGTAAAAACATTCTTACCACTGGGTACGGGGATAAACATTACAAGAGAGTGACTTTGTATGAATAGGGCACCCATAAACGACCTTGCAAAAAACTTAGTGTGATGTTTCCTCAGGTGGAGCCAGTTGGAGAAAAACTGGAGCTCAGTCCAGAGTGCAGTGAGCGCAGCTACTCTGATCCGCAGCCCAGCTCTGAGCTGCTGATCAAAGGAAACAAGGGATTAGGAGCTGCAGAAGACAGAAGAGGAGAGACGCTATCCTGCAGTGAAGCTCTTGAGTCCTCCTCTGGATTACACATCACCAGTTTCCTCAGCACTAAGGCCTTTATTGGCAGAGGGGTGTCTTCAAACCATGCCAGTAGTGTTGACAGTGTTCCCAACACCACAACTGGAGAATTTCAAGCAGACCACGATTCCGCTCGCTTCTTCCTCCCGAATGATTCCATCAACGCTGCATCTTCCTCTCTGCACCTCCTTTCAGGAGAGACCCAGGTCTGCTCTGACATGCAGCCAGAGTCCCTTCTCATGCGCCCGCTGCATGATGGAATAGCAACTTCCTCCTCATTAGGGACGTCCCGTGGTGGATCGGTAGATCAGCTTGCTCTTGAGTTTCAGCGCAACATTTTGGGATTACAAACATTCCCTCATTCGTCCAGAGGTGGAGGTGGTGGTGGAGGGTGCCAATCATACCGGCGCATCGCTCCTAAAGCTCATCCAGGAGGGGCTTCAATGCTAATGGACGGCCCTCAGCAACATGACGCTGCTTCCTCGTCCTCTTCCTCCACAATGCTACTCAATGGAGTCAACTTTGAGAATTC